TGCTGGGGTTATTCACAAAGGCAGTGGGAGTGTAGGAGAAGGTGCTGCTAAACCTGCCTGGGGAGTCAAAGAAAGCGTCTCTGAGAGAGCTCTTGTACCAGATCCTTGAAAGAGGGGTGGGCATTTGTCAGTGGACATGTTTCATGGGTATGTCGCGTGGCGCATGAACTTTAGGCTGTGTAGCCGTGCGGACCTTTAGCTCTCCCTGGAAGCACATGTCATAAACAGGAGAGCTGAACCAGAGCTCAGGGAAGTGGGTGGGGGAGGGGTGCCAGCAGGCGCCCACACAGAACCTAGGGGAGACCCTCAGCGCACCCTTCACCCCCACTCAGCAGCAGCAGCTGCTTCTGGGATCTTTTTTCCCTCACCGCTTACTTCTGGCTTTCTCTTCTGAGGGCGACAAACAATTTAAATAGATTTCTGGTCTACATTATATTTGTTACAAGGCATGTGGCTGAAATTAGTCAATATCTAAAGATCTTGGCAGCTGATTTTACAGGTTTTTGTCTTTCTTCTCCCTCTCTCCACACCCCCACTACACACACACACACACACACACACACTCACTCACTCACTCAAACACACATTCAGTCCCAATTGTCAAGCCATTTGTTTATGTGGGTGTCTCATTCGGAATTACTTTCTTGAAAGAATTCATTGAGTTGGTTGTGAGATGCTGTGCCTACCCCAGAATGGCTAACAGCCAAGGAAAAAGAAGTGGTGAGAAGGGAGGGAGGAAAAGATGGAGACCGTTTTAGATAGGACCAGAGAAAGGATGATATTTGGCTCAGGATGTGTTTCTGTGCAGGACCCAGGCTCCCCCAGAACCAAGGCCCCGCCCCCAGCAGCATGGCCGCTCCCTGCCCAGGCTCAGGCCGCAGGGCACCTCCCAGGCTTCCTCCAGTCAGCCCATGAGCGCCTTTCTGGCCGGGTCACTCCAGCATCGAAACTATGTGTTCCTGGTCCATGTGTCCCCCCTCCAGATCAAGAGAAAGATCCCCATGCTCTCTATGCTCCTGACCAACACCACCCTGCCGGGTGTTTTTGACTTAGGAAGGCACAGGTGCAAGGGGAACACAAGGAAGGAAGTTGCCAGTTTTCAAGGCCTGCTCTCTAAACCATCACATTAGGGACTTTCCAAATGTTATCCCACTTAACCTTCCCAACATCCCTGTGAGGCAAGCATCATTACCTGTTTTCCGATAGGGACACTGAGATTGAAGGTCACATAGCCCATAAGTATCAGAGCTGGAATTCAAATTCAAGTCTATCTGATGCCAGAGGCTACTCTCTTCCTGATACAGACACTGCCTGAGCATCGGATGGTCTTTCTTCTCTACCCCAGAGCAGTCAGCAGCCCAAGGGCCACCTGAAACTGGAAGCCAACACATGGGGATCTGGCCGCCATCCAGCCATATCTTTTCCCATGTCAGGGAGGGAATCTATATAAGTGCACGCTGCCCTCTCACCCTTCCAGGGTAGCCCCACACAACCTTCCATGTCTGCAAGGCAGAAGGCCTTCCCTGGAGTTCTGAAAGCCATAGACTTGACCAACCTACCTCTTCATAGACCCAGGTGGCATGGCCAGACTTGGCTTCCGAGAGGAGCCAAGCGCAGATTCAGAAGACACCTGGGAATAAGAACGGGTCGTGCCTGGTGACCATATTTATTATACAGGGTAGGCGAGGGAATGGAAGCAGTTGAAAATGCTTGCAAGAGTCCTGGCTCAGTGCACAGTGATCCCATTGACCTTGGAAGAGGATCTGGGAGGATTACCAGGTGAGAGGTGGAAGGAGGAAAAATTAAGAGTTCATTTTTAGACATGGTGAAATTTGAGGCGCCTGTGGGACATACATGTGAAAGTGGAGATGTCCAGTAGCAATTGGATATATGGATATGGGACTCAAGAGAGAGGTCTGAGCCAACAATATAGATTTGGAAGTCATCAGTAATGGAGGCATTGGGAATTCTCTTGCAAATCAAATGCTCGCCATCTCATCTATGTTTTGGAAATCCAGACTTTTACAATCAGCTTTAAGCAAGGAAGATGTAAGCCCAGGGTGTGATGGCTGCTGAGTGCCTTGACCCCCAAACTCCTGTTACCCCAGGTGCTGGGGGCATAGCACACAGCGTGTGCCATGTCGGAAAGAAGATCCACATGGCCCCAGGTGCTTTCCAGTGACTGATTCCCCAGGCTTGCATTCCAGTAGCTGGTAGCTGGGTTAGAAGGGATCAAGCTGGTGTCGCCATACCCAAAGACGATAGCACTTCCTAATAATTTTTTTAAAGTCTTCCTTTTCTACACAGTATTATCTGGCATATGCTTCTGAGCACCTTAGTACTACAACCAAGTCAGAGACCCTTGAATATGGGAAGGGGACACTACAATGACTTGTCAGCAGGAGGAAGCTGCCCCACGGAACCTGCCAACACCACTGCATGTTCACAATACAATTCCTACCTTCTACCTGCAAGACAGAAATATTTTTAGGCTTTCCAGAAAGATTTCATTTCACAGTTTTTCTGAAAGGTTGTAATTAACTGCCGTGAGCAAAAGAATGTATTTTTAAAAATAAAAGTGGGGGAAGGAGAGTAAACCAGTCACCACAGTTTTGTCAGTCCCTTTTGGTAGGTGGGCTTCTGCCATCCAGGTGGCTGGGGGAGGAGGAAGAGGGGCCAGCTGAGCTCATTCCAAGTGGATCAGAGGAGAACCTGGTGCTCAAGTTGGCTTAAAGCAGATTCTTTCCCATGGATGCTCTCCTGCAGCAGCATTGGAGCAGCCCCTTCCCTGTTCCTTGTTTACAAGTGTCCATCTTGCAGAGTCCAGGAGGCCTGGGTTCCTAAGGCAACTGTGCCAGGGGACAGTGAAAGGGCCAAGATCAAGTACTGGTTATTTTTAGAATTCCCAGGGACAGAAAAACTGTGGGCTCTGGTTGCTTGTGTCAGCTCCTTTCTCGCTAAATTTTCCCACCTGCCCCCCACACTCAAACCAACACATGGAAGTGCTCTGGAGCCCCTCGACTCTCCTACCAGTGACTCATTTCATGAATATTGTTGGTTTATTCATAAGATGGGATACTTTTATTTCCCGAAAGGAAGCCAGAGCCACAGACCAGGGAACTTGGGTGAAATGAGTCCCCGGATGGGAGTGTTCAGGGCCTGGGTTGGCAAGGAAGGAAGGAGGCTGCACCATATAAAGCTGAAGAAGAGGGTAGGGGTTCAGGAGGTCTGGGTTCCAGTCCTGGCTGTGCAGCCAAAGTACTGAGAGCCCAGCAGTTGGCCAGAGAGTGAGGGAGACCTGTCATCGTCCTCCTCAGCCCCACCATCATCGCTTCTCTGTCCACAGTCACCTGGGGATTTGTGGCTGAGTTGGTGGCAGAACTCATGGTGCACATATCACAGGAAGAGAGCAGGGTCCCTTTAGGGGAGGCAGGAGGTAGAAGGGGCAGCATTTTCACCTGTACCCACCTATCACCTGTGCCCTGGCATACACTGACTGCTCTGCCCACTGGGCACTCCTCCAGCACACAAGTGGATACAGGAAAACTCCCTAGAGGGGCCCAAGGACAGAAGTTGCCCAAGGTTGCAGCTCTCTGCCCAGAGGCCCCATATGGGAGAGTCTGGTTGACTCTTAGCCTTGACCAACTCCCATCCCTCCCTCCCTGTTTTGCCTTTCTTACAATAGTGAAAAGAGCACTGGACTTTCTTACAACTGTGTGTGTAGGTTACACAAGTATCTTTTTTTTAACTTTTAAAAAAGATTTTATTTATTTATTTTTAGAGAGAGGGGAAGGGAGGAAGAAACAGAGGGAGAGAAACAATGATGTGAGACAAAAACATCGGATCATTGCCTCTCTTACGCGCCGCAACCGGCGACAAAACCCACAACCCAGGCATTCGCCCTTACCAGGAATTGAACTGGTGACGCTTCACTTTGTGGAATGACACCCAACCAACTGAGCCACACCGGTCAGGGTGGTTATACAAGTATCTTAGACTAAGACACCCCAGGTACCCTTCCAGTTCTGAAATTCTTCCTGCTTAGGTTTTATTTAGTTCTAGTCTAATTTCCTTCCACTTCTGAAAAATGTGAACCACACAATGTGAACTTACTCCCTGGGATCTGTGGGACCTCAAAGAGCTGCATTTTTCCTGGGCCTGATCCGTTCCCAGGCAGAAGTTTACACCTTCGGAGAGCCTGATTCTGCAGTTCCTTCCCCTGCTGGGTCAGAGCCAAATGAGACAGTTATTGTTTGATGACTGAATTAAGAAATGAATAAGTAAATGATCCTTGCTTTTTGCTCCTAGCATGTATCCAAGACGTCTTTTTTTTCCAGAACAATGTCAAACACACTTTCCATCTCTGATCGTGCCCCTGCGGCAAGGCCTAATCTCCGGCTTCTCGGTGCTCCCCCAGCCTTCCCTCCAAATCCACCTTGTCCCCAAGTAGCAGGCATCAGCATTATTTATGGCCTCCTTCATCCCCTCCTCTAGACCATAAGTTCCTTGAGGGAGAATTTCCTGTACATTCATCACTGAATGCCCTACAGAGTCTAGCACACGGGAGTGGCAATAATAGCACCTCACGATTCCAAAGCCCTCTCTGGTTTATAAAATGCTCCCAAATACCCTCTATCTATTTGCTACTTGGAGCTCCCAGGGCAAAGCTGGCAGAGATGATTATCACAACTCAGAAGAACTGAGGTTCAGGGAAATTATGTGACTTGCTCACAGTCAGGCAACTAGTGAATTAGAGACACATCTCAAAAAAGGATTTTCTTCCTTGAGTCCAGTACTTTCTGGTTTCTTTTTAATAAATGGATGAATGAATGAGTCAATGACCTAAAGATCCGAGGAAGGAGTGTAAAACAAGGTGGTTCCATGATCCTAGACAAGCTAAAAGGTGAGAAGACACTCTCTGTTCACCCACATTCCAGATGTCCATCAAAGTCCCTAAGCCTCCTTCCCACAGGTTTGCTAATCCCATTTCCCTCCCACAGATTTTAACCGTGTCTGGACCACCTGAAGGAGGGACTCGAGTGACCATCCACGGTGTGAACCTGGGTCTGGACTTCTCTGAGATCGCCCACCACGTGAAGGTGGCTGGGGTGCCATGCACACCCCTGCCAGGGGATTACATCATCGCTGAGCAGTGAGTCCAGTCTGCTCTGGCCCGCCCTTTTCCCAGGGGAGCTTCTGGGTGGGTGGGGACTTCTCCCTTCCTTTCTCTGGGACTTTTCAAAGACTCATCTCCCATCTCCATTCTCCCATGGACCTGACCCCAGAAGTCTACCTGGAGCCCTGAGCTTTCCCACCTCCACTCTCAGAAGGTCATAGTCTGTTCTCCTCCCTGTTCGCTGGCTCCTCTGGCCTCAGGAGCCCTGTGCAAATGTGCCCTCATTCAGTTGTCGCCTGCCCACCAGCATGACTGAGTCAGTTTCCCATCCAGCCTAGGTTCCTCCTCTTCTTCCCCGGCCCCTCCCCTACAGACCCCATTAGAATGCATCCCGTAAGGTGGGCTGTGGGCAACAGTTTGTTTGGCTCATGGGGCTCTGACAGCAGCTTAATCCAAGCAGGGCCTCCGCCGGAGCAAATTCATTTATTTCACTAAGGGAAATGTCAGCTGGAAATTAGAAAATAGGCAGGTAGCAGCGGACATTCGAAGGGGCTCCAAGAGTGACATATGTTCCAATTTGGGTTGTGTTCATTTGGCAGTGGCAGCCACTGTGGAGTTGGTGGGCAGGAGATGGGCACAAAGCTGGGGCAGGAGGGTAGAAGGAGGGGTGCCCCCTCTTCAAAGGAGAAAAGGAGGGGAGCAGCCAGATCACTCTGCACAATTGATCCTATAACATCTGATCAAGTGACCCTGGCTCCACGGAGAACACGGCTCTGCAAGGGGGTCCTAGGAGCTTGACCAAGAGCACGGTCTGGGGGTGGGGCTTCTCTCCCTGAGCTTTACCCCCCGGCAGCCTCAGAGCCTCCCTCTGACCTCGCCAGAGCCAGCCTTTAGTAGCAACCATAATAATGACTTCGTTTTCTTTTACCAGCACTTGCACTGTTTCATCCATTATCTCACTTTTAATTGGTCAAAACTCTGAGAAGTACATATTGTTATCATCATTTTACAAAGCAAGAGAGAAGGAACATGACTTTCCCAGCTCCCTGCTCCCTCAGAGCATGAGTGGTCAAGGTAGAGTTGGAACTTGAGTCTCCTGACTCCTAGTCTAGGCTTCATCCCTCCCTCGATAGCAATGGACTCCTGGGTAAGAGTGGCCTGGAAATTTCATGATTCATCAGAATGTGGCTTCCAGGGTCAGGGGCCATAATCCCAGTGTGGCCCAGAGCTGGGTCAGAGTCAGACTGGTGAATTCCCAGACTCTGAGGTTGGGTGTGATTCCTGCCAACACCAGCAGGGGAGAAGAAGGAGCTGGCCTCATCCTTCAGACCTTCAGATTCTTCCTGGTTGATCCTTTATGAACAACCTGTCCCTGCAAGGAGTGCATGTCAGAGGATAGGCTGGCAGGACCTACAGGAAAGAGATGAGGGGGCAAAAGGGCACATGACAAATAGCACTGCTGAGCCAGAAGAGGAAGTGAAGGCTGCTGGTGGCAGGAGCCAGGACAGCCTGCAGAAATCCTCAGTCAAGGTCTTTACAGAGGCCAGCCCCCGGCCAGACAGGGTTAGAGGCTGAGTCTCACCGACCCAAATCCACCGTGGCCTTCATGACCTGCCTTGTGCCTCTGGACAGAAGCTAAGTCTCCAACTTAGTGAGATGCCACAGGACCCAAAGGAAAGGATTAGGGGCAAATGAGGAGTAAGGCTTTGAGCTGAGAAGAGCAAATTCTTGGGCAGCTAGATGGACATGTCATGAGATTTGGAATTCAATGCTGTGCTAAGTCCTGGCTCCTCTACTGACCAGCCCTGATACCTTAGCAAACTGTTCAGCCTCTCTCACCTTCATTGGCCTAATGGAAATCATGATTCCTGCTGCACAAGTTTTGAGGAAAATTCAGTAAGATGAGAAAATGGAGACTATAATGTGCCATACAAATGTAAGGAAATAGAGCTCTATCTATGAAATCAAATGCTCCTCACTGGCCTGGGGTCATAGGGAAGAAAGTGCTGAGAGAAACTGGAAGTGAGACTATGAAAGGAGCCTGGAAAAGTGAATGGTTACCAAGCGTCCTTGCCAAGGCTGGTGGTCACCCCAGAAAACCACCACCACCATCTCTGTGTGCGGGGCAGGCCGGAGGCAGCCAACACACTCAGTACCTCGGCTGGATGCAGCCCTGGTTTCCAGCCGTGCCAGGCTCATTACTGCTTTTGAGGTTTCTGAGTTTGTTAACATCATTAAAGCCTCCATCCCGGGCAGGGAGCAGCAGGCACAATCGTTACAGATGTCTGTGAGAGATGAATTTGGCTAAACGGGCGTGTACAGAGTCCCGGGCGCGGGCAAGATTATCGGGCACGGTAATGACTCACCATATGTTTGCGCCTGCCATCTATCACTCAACAATTAGGTTAATGTTGGTTAAAGGGCCCCACTTAGTCCTGCAATCAGCACCCCACAGGACTGTGGAGGACCAGATGATTCCATCACAGGACATTTTCCAGGCAATAGGTTGCAGATTGAGGATGCAGCTTGGCCCACCCTGGGACAGGGGCTCTGTGTGATAGGGACTGAGCTCCAGTCCTCAGATTACCTCACTCTTATCTGCTGCACCTGTGAACTCAGCCACCGCTGGATAGGTTGATGTTAGACACATGTGTCCCGTATGCCAGGTGCACACTCATAGGATGAAAGAGACCGTCTATGCTGATTTAAGGGAGATGGTCAGGTGTGGAACTGAGGGCACTGGCTGGGTGCCAGAAGTTAAGCTATTGATGAGCTCGGTGACTGTGGGCAAGTGTATTTGCTCTCTGATCCCCAAGTGTCTCATCTGGAAAATGGGCATATAGAAATATAAGATCTCTATAGTCACATCTGTGGTCCTGAGGATGTCAGAAGAAATGTCTGCCCTATGGGACCTGTGCCTCCCACCATTAGAAAGCATATTGGTGGCACTAATTTGTTTCCAGAAGTCCCCTGTCAACCAGGAGGAGTGAAGCCTTCAAATATTAAAGCTAAGTAACTATTAGTCAGTTATTTAGTCTAATTCCTCACTTTATAAGGAGAAGACATCTCTAGCACTTGTCTCCTAATAATATCTAGGGAGCCCAGAGCCACCAGGGACACTGGGAAAAGGCAGGAGGCCTCCAGAAGTTACACCACAGGAACTTCGCCAGCTCATAAGAGCTGAAGGAGGAAATGTGGTATCTACAGCCAGCAAGATGGGGGACACAGGTGGTTCGCTCTCAGAGCCCTAGGAGCCCAACCAGGTCTTCCCTCCCCTACCCCTACTCCCACAGCCTCAACCACCCCAGCATTACTGCCATGTCTATCTACCCTGCCCCCTTCCCAAAAGACACGCAGATCATTCCATTAATTCTAAAGGCAGTAGAGGAGAGTGGTCAAAGGCATGAGCTCTAGAATCAGCAGACGTGGATTTGAATCATGTCTCTGTGGCTTACCAGAACTGTGGCTCTAATGAGTCACTGAGTATCTCCAAGTCTTAGTTTCATTGTCTATAAAATGCAGGTCATGAGACCCTCCCTGTAGGAGAGCCTGAGGGTGGCATGAGACCCTGTCTTGTCCAGTACCAGCCACGATCACAGCTCAGTATGGCCTGACCCTCATTCCTCAGTATAACCCTTCTACTCTCTACAGCTGCTCTTCCTTTTCCTTTCAACTTCATACATCCCTGAGCTCAGAGGACAAATGGTTATAACAGGTACACTCAAGGATGCAAGCACTGCATCCCAGGAACAAAAAGGATGAAGGGTTAGAGGACATTTGAGTTCTTCTACAATGCTGCCTGATTCCTTAGGACTCATCCATTTCTTAGATTTACCAACCCAGACCCTTTTCTATAGCCCACTGCCTCTCTTCCCACTCACAAAGTGAAGTAGAACCTCATTCCACAGGTGGGAAGAGGGTCAGCTACAGTGCCAAGGAAGGGAACCCATGGTCCAGCTCTGGGCCCTCTCTGCAGCCCAGCCCCTGATCCTCTGCATCACCCTCTTCTAGGCAGGGCATTCAGAGCCAACTGCAGCCATTCAGCCTTGGACACCTGGGCAGTGCCCATCTGCCATCCATTCCCCTTTTCCCAGGTGCTTGACATATAAGGCTTATCTTTTGGGACACGAACCTTCAGTGAAAAAAAAATTTCTAAGGAACAGTGTGCCAAGAGGCCCCATCCCTTTATTAACTCCCTACAGACAAAACTGATGGGCCATTCTAGGCTTTCTCTTCTCCTAGACAGGCCCTGGCATGGCCTAAGGAGGAACAGATAGGCCCAGATTCTTCACGTTATAGTTCTACTTTCCATGATTTCAAGCCTGCCATGATTTCTTCCTCCTTTTCCTCTCGGGAGTCACTTTGGCACAGATAGTCCAAGAGAGGTGAGTGAGGGACAAGAAAGCCCTGATAAGAAGAGAATGAAAGACTTACCTCCCTCCCCCTCTCCTGCGCCTCCTCTGGAGCTCCTTGAGAGCACAGGGCATGATTTGCAGGATGGCCAGGACCCCAAACAGCAGCAGGCGCAAGGGCCCAGGAGACAGGATGGGGGAATCGTTACTCCAAGCAGGTAGCAGCATTGAGATAACCACACACAGTACCATAAATTAGACTTCTCAAATGCTCTGTAATGAGGTTTAAGGAGACAGCGATGTGTAAAATGCTAATTGATCATTGCTATCATCTTTACACTGCATTGATGATTAATTTATTCATTCATAGAGGAAGGGATGGAGGAGGAGAATATCCTTCCCTGTGTATTCAGTACTTTCTTGTTGAATCTAATATACTAAACATAATAAGACTGTTATTGCATGTTAAGTAAATATTCACCAGGAGTGAAAGTGCTTATTTGGGATTAGCTGTTATGAAGGAGATGGAGATCCGTGGCATGCCATGTGTGCGAGCATGCGGTGTATTTGTTTAATGCAAGTTTTATTACATTGGAATGAAATCTCTGTTTAGCTACCTTCCTTCCTAGAGAAGCTGTTGAGATAAACATCACTCGGTTAAACACGGATCTTCCCCACTGTGCCAGAATAATGCTGGGGATTAGTGCAGGGGGTTTCTGTTTTGCTGACTCCCCACTAAGCAAACCTACCAGGGGTGCCAGGCTGCTCTGAACTTACACATGGCATTTGGAGGAAAGGAAAATCTTTGTCTCTGTTCCCAGGTCCTCTTGAGCCTGGTAGAGCCCTTTTCCACATACCCCATGTCTACAATGCCAGGCAAGATATCCCCGCCAAGAACCTGGTTTCTTCAGTCGCTCCAGCTACCCACCCCTTCTAGTCTGTGGCTGTGGCCAAGGCAACCAGTCTCTAAAGGTGCTTGTTGTAACTTATCTCAGGCACGAGGGAAGTCATCACTGAGGGTATCGATCTGAGCTTCACGAGAGAGAATGCTGCGCTCCCCCTCCTCTCCAGCTCCCCTGTTAACGAGGGACATGACTTCCAACCCCAGGGCTGAGCCACTGCCTCACTGACCAGCTCAGTGCGCTCCGCCCTTGAATAAATGGGCGCCCAGTGCCCACTGCCGTCCTAATGAACTCATCCACCTCCCAGCCCTTCAGCGGCTGCCAGAACGCCGCTTCTCCCATTGTGCTCCAAGCTCCTGTTTCAGACTCTCACTCTCTCACCAGATTATCTATTCTCTTTTGAAAACTCACTGCGGGAAATGAACCACAGTTGAATCAGTTTGGCAAATAGGACCTCACTCCCTCTTTTAGGGGGAGTTGCAGTGTTGGCTTGTCACATAGGAAGGGACACAAAACAGTGTGTATTGTGGCCCCTAGAGCTCTCTGTTGGCCGTTAGGTTTATTCCACAAATATTGGATAGCCACCCAGTGATAGGCACTGCACTGGGTACTGGGTACTGCAGACTTGTTCAGAGATTTGGGCAGCATAACATTTTGGAGGTACACAGGGCTTTAGATGATCTCTTCCAACCTCTTACTGTACAGATGAGAGATTAAAGCCCAGAGAGGGAAAGCCCTTTACCCAAGGCCACACAGATAAATGGATGAGCAAGCTGAGTCTCGGTTTAGCATTGTTGCAAGACTGGTGAGTCATTTCATAGTGACAGTGAGCAAGTAGGGGCAGGGATGTCAGCTCTTGCCAAGCCTCTCATGGGAAGATTTGCTCTCTTCTCAGGATTGTCTGTGAGATGGGCCACGCCCCCAAGGGAACCACCTCTGGACCCGTGAGCCTGTGCATTGGCGAGTGTGAGCCAGAGTTCAGGACGGACTCTCACCAACAGTATACCTTCGTGGTGAGTATGGGGTCTGGCACAGGGCTACAGGCTCCCAGCAAGGGCGCACTTTCTTCCAGTCTTCTCCACACACCTCCTCCCAAGCCAGGCACCTCCAAGAAACCAGAGCAGGGAATATCCAGCCTCACTTTGCAAGCCTGTCTTTCCAGGTGGGATGGGTGTGTGACTAGCAATGCTGTGAAGACTTTGGAGTCCCCCAGAGCCAAAGGCCAGCATTCTAAATAAGACAAAATCAGGCCTTTCTTAGAATTCCGATCTTAGAGGCACCTCCCAGGGTGGGGAGGCGCTGCCCTTTGTCCCTGACAATGTGAGATATTCCTCTAATTCCAGTCTAATGAGGACAGAGTGCCCAGGGAACCTAATTAAAAAAAGGTCTATATTTATCAGCAAGCTTTGTTTTCTGCCAAGGATATTGTAAGTAGGAATTTAGAGGAGTCACTTGAAGTCCTATAGGACTATGTGTCCATACAGGATCACGGGAGTCAGGTGTACAAGCGAGTTGCTCTGTGTGTTGCTGTGGTTACACTCAAGTATGCGCACATTCACACTTGAAAACATCTCTTCACACTCAGGCACCAGGTAGTAAAATCAAAGACTTTCTTCACAGTGCCTACTGAATCAATAACTTGCTTCTGAGCCCTCGAGTCCCTTTTCTGACACTTACCTACATTGCCACATCGAATTCTTCATTAAAAAGTGTTAGCACCAGCTGGTGAGGTCAAACCAGCCTTGCTAAGAGTTTTGAAAAATCATTAAACCACAAGATTCTATTCTCCCCGAGGCATTTTTACTGCTTGTTGTCGGTTTTTCAGTCTCTGCCATCTTATCCTGGCCTTTTTCTTGTACTCTTCCCTCTCTAGGACTAGAGAGAACCACGGCCTATCTGCCCCCATCCTACCCTATCTCCTACCCAGAGAGATACAATCTTCTTTGAGAGGCAAAAACAGAAACACTAGATGGGGAGAGCTATTGAATGTCAGAGCAAGGAGGAACTGCAGAGATACTTTAGCCCCCTCTGCTCATGACAGAAGAGCAGACAAAAGCCCTGGGTGATCCAGAACCTGGCTTCAGGGCTCATTGCAAGTGGGTGGCTGATGGGGACTTGTTCATGTCTGTGTACTTGCTTAGTAAAATACGCTTTCCACTCCGCTCCACTGCCCTCCAGGCAGAAGCAATTCCTTTCTGATTTAGGTCAGCTGCCTGATGTGTTTTAGGCCAAATGACATTTCTTTTAAGCTTCGGGCTTAATTTTACAACTTGGTGAGCTTACTAAAAAGTCCCAGCCAATGATGGGCCATCCTCCAGGTGCAGAATGGGGGAGCCATGTCTGACATTTACTTATAGCTCTCTGCACCAGGCTGTGCCCTACACATGCTTCGGGAGGGACAGAAGGACATGTACATGGGCCACTAATGGAGGACTTTACCCTCATGGTGGCTCAGTGCAGGCAGGGATGCTTTATTCAGCCCTATTGATTTTATGCCAAAAATATCAGTACAGGCTCTAGATAAAGGAGCATTTTCAAATTGTTCTCAATTTGTAAACTAATTGATAGATTAGTCAGTGTCATTTATGCCTTCCCATCAGTGTTATGGGCATGAGGCTCCCTGGGGAGTTAATTAATTCCACAACATGACCTTTCTGTCTTCTCTGGACATGCCCAGTGGCGCTTCTGAGAGAGGGTCTCAGCTCCCGGGTAGGCAGGGCGAGTGTTTGAGATTCAAAGGAGCAGGAAAAGCACTTCCACTCCGAGCACGGACACCGCCCCTCCTTCTGTCCTTAAATCTAGTCTGGGTCCGTCCCTTTGCGCAAAACCTGAGCTATGATCATTTCTCTGCTTCCTCCCAAAGAACCCTTCCGTGATGTCCCTCAACCCCATTCGCGGGCCAGAGTCGGGAGGCACCATGGTGACCATCACGGGCCATTACCTCGGGGCTGGGAGTAACGTGGCCGTGTACCTGGGCAACCAGACCTGCGAGTTCTATGGGTGAGATGAGCTCGGAAGAGCACTGGAAGACTGTCCTTGCTTGGCCTGTGTACACATGTTTTTGTGCATGTTCACGCATATGCCTGCCCATCACCTCCATGTTATGGGCCACGTCCTGGACCCAAACATCATTCTGGTCACTGTAAGACACACGTACCACTGGTCAATGTATACCATATGGATCACAAGGGCTGGATACTTCTGCAAGTGCAAGGGCACCCCCAAAAAAACAGAATGGAGGGCAGGCCCCTTGTAGTACAATCTTCCCCACTAGGCATGTGTTCTAGGAACCCACCTGTATCAGTGTACCAACTGGTGTTGTTGTGGGAGGCTGTGTCCGGCTTCAGTGAATTTTTTTGAAGACTCAACGCATTTGTCCATTTCTTGATGGTGATTTCCAAGTGCACCTACTCACACTGTGCTGAGTGCATAGCAGTTTTTGACCAAAAACAACATGACCCTGGGGCCCCATCCTCCCGATCCACCAGATGACACCCCAAGCCCCCCCTTTTTTTGTTTGCTCAGATGAAAAAAAAGTTTTCAAAGGGAAACATTTTGCTGATGTGGAAAAGGTGAAAACAAAAATGGCAGAAGCACCGAAAAGCATCAGAACTGACAGGTTCAAAAACTGTTTTGAGCAGCGGAAAAAAAATTTCTCCATAGGTGTATTGTATCAAATGGAGAGTAATTTGAAGGTGACTGAAGTTTAAACATGTAAGAGTAAATACACCATTTTTTATAAATACATCCTGGGTTTCTTTGGGTCCCATCTCATAATTAGAAGGAGAGCAATGCGACTGTTGCTGAGAAGGGCTCCCAGGAGCTGTCCAGTCACCATTGGGACCGACCACACATTCATTAGGTCCCCACTATGGCTGCCTGAGAAACACGGACATTGTGTGGCCTCGGCCCTCAGCAAACACATAGATTTATCCTCAGGGCATGTCTTGGGCCTAAAAAATTGAGCACCTGCTATTTATCAAATACCTTCAGTGGGGATGTAGAGAATCCTGAGAGAATCCATGGATGAAAACCCAACTTGCCCAGTGTTACCTGACAGTCTGCTCCTTGGACCATAATTCCCTCAGGGCGAGGACTATGTGTTCACTTTTCTGCGTAGTAGGTGCTCAATGAATATTTATTAACTAACTGACTAGATTCTAAGCACCAGCTAAATAGTCATTTCTAGAAAAATCCAGAAAAGAGGATGCAGCCAGTGAAGCCCAGCCCCTGCCTCACATTCTCTAATCCCTTCCCCCAATTTGCTCCCTTCTAATTGAACCCAAGTTGGCTCTCAGGTAAAAAGTGCACTGACCCCCACTGATGAGAGCTGTGTTCCCTAGCACACGGCGTCACAGGACAGAGGACACATCCTGGCCACACCCTCAGACCGAGGGAAGCTCCTTTTCCAGCAGAGGGCACCCCCTGTCGCCCTTGTCTTTCTTCACCACCCTCCCGCTATCTCCCCGGCAGGCGATCGATGAATGAGATCGTGTGTGTCTCCCCTCCATCATCCAATGGCTTGGGCCCAGTTCCCGTTTCCGTGAGTGTTGACCGGGCCCGTGTGGATAACAACCTGCAGTTTGAGTACATAGATGACCCCCGGGTGCAGCGCATCGAGCCAGAGTGGAGCATTGCCAGGTGAGTCACAGCATGGAGGAACACACCCTATGGCATCATCCCCTCGGCCCGACTGTGGCTTGTGAGAGGCTCCCAGGGGAGGAGGTGGGGGCAGTTGGAATTGTTACCTAACCCACCCTCTGCTTGTTACCAGTGGCCACACACCCCTGACCATCACAGGCTTCAACCTGGATGTCATTCAGGAGCCAAGGATCCGAGTCAAGTTTAATGGCAAAGAATCTGTCAATGTGAGTAAGTGCTGGTTTGCCCAGCCCTGGGCATACACAGCTGTGTGGTGGTGGTTTGTGATGGGATGAACTCTGTGTTGGGCACTGGAGTGTCTGACCCCCAGGAGGAGAAAATTGGCTCAAGGCCGAGCCCGGAGTCACGTCCCCAAACACCTGAGCCTGACAATGATTTTTATGATTATGGTATAATCATTTCTTATCAGAAGGTGATACAATGCATGCATAAACAGAGTGTCTTCTGAGCTTAGATACAGTACAAAGGGGCTACTGTTTATGGCAGGCTCCCTGGAAGGTCTGATAAGAAGCAGCGTTGTGAGAGGGTGAAGAAATTCTCACTCCAGATTCAGATGCATCTGGTCTGGAGGAAGCAGAACTCTCCCATCTATTAACTGAAAAACCATGATCAAGTCATTTAACCGCTCTGATCCTCCATCCCCCAGTCCCCAGCTACGAATGACGATAAGACTCGCCTTGCAGATTTGTCACCTGCGGCCATTGGCTGCTGAGCTGGGCACTTAAGAAACATTAGTCACTGTGTGCAAGTTGTTCCATCCAGATTGCTAAGATGATCAGGTTAAACATTTTACTTTATTCCTCTGTGCAGAGCCATGTAATTCAATTTTTTTCATTATGGATTTTTGTGATTTTAAAGAAGCTTTCTATCATAAGAGCAGAATGTCTGATATGTTATAAATTTTTTAGTTTGTTCTAGTTGCTCTTCTTAGCCAATATTTTCTGAAACAATATTGTATTTATAATTATAGTTCAGCAGATGCTGACATTATAAATTATGGCCATTACTTTTCAAATAAATTGCTATTATTACTGCTTCGACCTTCAGGGGATTGACTAGGCTGAAATGGAGATGGCGAGGATGGCTTTCTATCTGCCCTCATCTCTGGCACATTCGCAGAGTGCTTGAGGCTTCCTTGGGAAGTAGAAATGTGCAAAGTGACAGGGTGCTGTAAGGCTAGATCTGGAAAGGTCTCAGGGATCATCTGGTCCAAGCCCCTCATTGTACAGCTGAAGAAACTAAGGTCAGAAATAAAGGACTTGTCCCCAGTCATTCAAGTGACTGGTGGCAGGGCCAAGCTGTATTGCAGATATCTGGGCTCTTCATACCTAGACCACATGAGATGCTCCTGGGCTTGACATTCCATCATGCTGGAGACATGGGGATACCTTTTCATACCTTCGGTACCCACCATGGTCACAGAGCTCTGGGCTGGGAGCGCACGTGTCCTCTTATCCCAGGTGTAGAGCTTGATCCGTGGGTAAAGAGTCCATGCCCCAACGCTAATTTCAGGCTGAGGCCAATGTCCCCAGTAGCTGACAGACTACCTCCATCTGTCCAACTCCAGGGCCTAAGGAGAATGGAAGAGGGTGAGGGTTAGAAATGGGCATGGAGAGTTTACACTCAGGGAAGAATAAAACTCCCAAACAATTTAGGTACATTTTTTAAATTTAGTTTTTATTGTTACTCACATATGGCAAGGCCAACAGATAGGAGATGACTGCCATTTGATAGCTTATTAATACTTACAGATCCCAGGGAAAGGGGGCCTTGCCTCGGTGAGGGCGGGGGTGGGGTAGGGTGGGGAGGAGAAACCACGGGGTAAGTTAGGAAGCAGGAGGAAAAAGGAAAACTGGGGTGAGAGCCTTTATTTTGGTTTCCACAGGAAGGAACTAGCAAGGCAAGCAGGTTTAGGATTGGCCAGTTTGGATCATTTTAGTGGGCTGGTGGCAGAGGAGCTGTCCCCAGTTGCCTGGTACCTAGCCCTGGTGTAGTTAGGGAAGGTGGATAGTTGCCCACAGTGTGAAAAGTGGTTGGGCCTGTGGGCTCTGGATTAGTTATTTGCATTAGGAGAGCAGCTCTAGAGGGCAACCAGTTATTCACTGTCCCTACAAATTGATGAGTCTGGGAAGGGCAGCCCCTCCAGAGCCAGCAAGGCCCCAGATGTTAAAGCATCAGAATAAAGAAAATAAAAGATGGCTAATATACTACAGAGGGACTTTTGGAAAATGAGTATATGACTTAAAAGGTCAACCTTCAGAGGCTGAACATTAGTCCAGGGGACGCCATTTGAAGAGAAGGCTGGGCTGGGAAGGCCTTCAGCATACCTGATGTTCCTCTCTGAGAAGGCTCAGTTCTGGGCGCCCTCTCCCTCCCAGCAGCCTTTGCAGGACTAAACAGGATTCTCCCCAGCGGTCCCCCCAGCCCACCCATCATGACCGCAGGACTTTAAGGAGTTAGGGAGCTGTTCCTCGTTCTTCCCTCTGGAGAGTTGGGGGCCCTCTTGCCTGGGGTCTGCAGGCTGGCAGGCCTGGAGTCTGTACTTTTCCATCCAGCCTGGCTCCATGATGGGAACCTCATGAACTCTGCCCTGGGCCTTCTCTTTCAGGAGGGTGGGAGGGAAGCACTCGGCTCTTCAGCCCAGCCTGAGTCGCATGACGGCCTCAGCCCACTGGGGCCTCTCCTTGCCTTTGGGTTGTGAAGCAGCCCCAGTGAGAAGTGAGAAGGGCCAAAGCGAAGGCCACAAAACCCCAAGGAATGTTTGGCAAACAAAGTGCCGATGCAGCACAGGGCAGGAAGCAAACAGAGGCCGCTTGTTTGGGAGCGATTTGCTTGCTCATGAAGGAGTCCAGTCTGGGAGCACTGGAATGAGCAGGGACGAAGGCGGGGTGGGGAGTGAAGAGACACAGGCTGCATCTGCCCCGCAGATCCTGGGGTTTCGGGCTCCCTGGCTCAAATCTACCGTTTGACCGCACCCCCATTTTCCTCATGCCAGAGCGTCCCCATCTGGAACACGAAAGGGACATTAGGCTTCTAAGGGGCTGCTGAAGCGTGAGCTAAAAAGGGTGAGAATGGGAACTGACCTGCAACATGGCACGAAGCCCTCAGTGAGCCATTGGCTTAAACTCAAACTGCCTCCAGACATAGAGGTTAATGCTTGGCCTTGGAACTCTGACCTAATTTCTGTGCAGATGTCGACCTTTTTTGCAGTTTCACACATGGTCTTGTTCTCTGAACATGAAATCCATCTATGTGTGTGTTGGCCAGACACACATGTGTGGATCTGCCAGGACAGTGTGTGCTTGAGCAGGCTGAGTTCTCACAGATGCCCTCGGCTGTTGCTGGGGTACCATGGCTCCCAAAGCCGAAACTGGGCTGTGGGGTAGGGGTACAGGTTTTCTTCCCGAGCTTCATGTGGGACCTGCAGTGGTTTCTTCATTCTGGCTGCTGCCTTAGGCAGCCCCAGGACTAAACCAGAGAAGAGCATGACACGATTCATGTGAAGCAGGGGCCAGCCCAGCTAGAATTTTATTTGGGAGACCAGAGTCCACCAAGAAAGAAAGGACATACTGAACTCAGTGTCAATACCAAGGTTACATCCTCTTGCAGTTAGGGGACACTTGGCTGGAGAACAGAGAGATCCTGAATAGAACATCTAAAGAGTTGAAGGCTCCATTTCGTTCACCAATGTAGCCCATAAACATTAACTGAACACCTACTACTCCTGGCAAAGTGCTTATCGCACAACACATCCGGCTCTCCCCTCACATCCCCCGACACACTCACGCACTCACACTCACGCCCAGCGCTGCCTGCCAGTTTTCCTCAACCCTTCCATGCTCTCTCATCTCTGGGCCTTTGCTGCTGTTCCCGCTGCCTGGGATTTGTTCCCCTCCCCTTCGTTCTCCTTGCAGAGTTAAGTCCTACTCATTCTTCAGATTAATTTCTTCCCAGGGAGGGCTGCTGTGAGTCACCCTCATCCTGCATACACACGCACACACACGCTCATGGCCACACACAGACAGTACCCCAGTACCTGATACTACCCTACTAGGGCCTTCCTCATGTCCATCCGGGCATTTAACAGTGCTTGTGCCCCTACGGTGTTCCCGGCCCTCTGCCGGCACTCTATTATGCTTCTTGAATCATTTGTCTCCCCCTGTAGGCTGTCACTATTTTACTAGATAACCCCAACTTCTAGTACGGTACCTGGCCCAAAGGAGGCACTCAAGCAATACTGGTGAATGAATGAGGGTAAAATGCAACCCCTCCCAAAGAATCAGTTTCACACCCTGATTCTCAAGAGGTTCACTACCTAATGAAGACAAGCAAGTAACCTTATAGTGGCGGCCAAAGCCAGCAGAGGGTGGGAGGGGCGGTTGGCGTCACTCGCTAGGTGTCTGAATGCTGCACTCTGGACCTCTCAGGTGTGTAAAATTGTGAACACCACCACCCTAACCTGCCTGGCACCCTCTCTGACCACGGACTACCGGCCCGGCCCTGACACCGTGGAACGGCCAGATGAGTTCGGATTCGTCTTTAACAATGTCCAGTCCTTGCTCATTTACAACGACACCAAGTTCATCTACTACCCCAACCCAACCTTCGAACTGCTCAGCCCTACTGGAGTCTTGGATCAGAAGCCAGGATCGCCCATCATTCTGAAGGTAGGAATGTGGGGAGGGCAGGGTGGGCGAGAGCATCCCCTCCTGGCCTTTCTTTTCTCCTTTCTACGCATACAGACTCACAAAGCTGTCATCTTTCCCTGTCAAGGGAGCTTGTTTAGAGGTATTGGCCCATCAGATGATATACAGGGTGGGGCAAACGTAGCTTTATACTTGTGAATACAGGAAACAGTTTATTCTCATACTATTACTTCCTAATCATTGTGTTATTTTTCAAACAAATGACTGTAAACCTACTTTTGCCCCACCCTGTATCTTGCGCATAGGATTTCTGAGAAACGCTTTGAATATTTCTGTTTATTTTTGTACACTTTGGGACCCAAAGGGTCTGCAGTGAGTTGAAAGTAACCATTACCTTCATTGACCACCTTTGTGGCTGCTGGAAACTGCGCACGTATTTTGCGGGGTCAAGGCTCCCTGGTGCAAGTGTTTTGTTACTCCACCACTTCCATCCATGTCCCTTGTGTCCCCTCCCCACCCCCACACATTTTTTCACTTGTTTAGTGTTCTATTTTTCCCTTCCTTTCTATTTCCTATTTTCTTTCTCTCCTCCATTTCTCTCCAAATTGTGGCCAAGTTCTCTCCAAAAACTTCCCTTGGAGTCACCACCCCTTGGTTTTTGCGCTGCCGCCCTTCCTTCTTTATTCTGTCTCCTTAATCTTTTTTTAAAAAGGCAATTAATTTCTGAGTGCATGTGTCAGTTATTCCTATTAAGATTACTGTTACCTACAGGGCAAAAACCTCTGTCCTCCCACCTCTGGAGGTGCCAAACTCAACTACACGGTGCTGGTTGGAGAGACCCCGTGCACCGTCACTGTGTCCGAGACACAGCTGCTCTGCGAGCCCCCCAACCTCACGGGGCAGCACAAGGTCATGGTGAGTGAGCCCTCTTCTTTTTATTATTCTCTCCCCTCCTGCTGTGCGTACACGATCTGTTGTAAGAAAGGCTCTCTCCCTGCTATTCCATATCTCATCCACATGTCAGACAATTAAAATGCACAGAAGTTGAGAACACAAGTACAGGGGGGCAGATCATCAGCAGGAAGTTGTTTTGTGTCCAAATACACTGTGTGGCTGTCCTTTCTGAAATGATACGATTTCGATGGCATGCCAGGACTCTACAGCATCTATGTATGTACAATGCACAGGTTCACGTGGGCGGGATGGTGTTCTCTCCTGGCTCGGTGAGTGTCATCTCAGATAGCTTGCTGACCCTGCCAGCCATTGTCAGCATTGCGGCGGGCGGCAGCCTCCTCCTCATCATTGTCATCATCGTCCTCATTGCCTACAAGCGGAAGTCTCGAGAGAACGACCTCACTCTGAAGAGGCTCCAAATGCAGATGGACAACCTGGAGTCCCGTGTGGCCCTGGAGTGTAAGGAAGGTGAGTGGAGGCGTTCCCGTGCTTTCTGGGCTCCTCTTTCTTCAGCAACTTACTACCTCCCTCCTTACCCACAATGCTCATCTTTACTTCCATCCTTCCCACTCCAGCCATTGTACTCCACTTCGACCTCTGTCTCCTTTGCCCACAGGGCCAGAGAAGTCCTGTTAACGCCCACAGTGAGGCCCCAGGCCCAATCACATTGCTCTGCTCCCGTGCCCTGACTCATGCCACAACCTGGCTGCCTTTTTCTCCCTCTCAGAGCCTCAGTCTCCCACAATCAGAGTCTCAGCCTCTAGATCCCCCACATGGGAGTTTCTGGCTTCTTTTGCATAATACCCAGGGAGCACGTGGAATAGCAACAGCAGCTGCAGCAGCAGGAAAGGCAGGAGCATCTTACCTGCCTCCCAGCCCAGGGTTTGTTTTCCTTCAGCACAGCAGGCTGAGCACTCTGAAGCCACGCTTGCGGCCGTCCTTGACTGTGGACGTATGTGGGAGTGGAAATTGTGTTGTTTCCCATCTCCTACGCAACCACAGTCATGCGGTGATGGGTATACCTGGCGACCCCTCGGGCCGAGGACCCAGTGAGCTCTCTGGGTAAACATTTCAATTAGGAATCAAAACATTTCTCCTTTTGCTGCAAACATCAGGATCGGAAACGATCCCTCTACTGGATGAAAGAGAAGAGTTGGGCTGAGGAAAGGTGGTCAAGGGCTCCTCCTGGTGCCAGGGCTGGGGAGGGGAGAAGAGGAGGGCACCAGGAGGTAGACCTGCCCCCAAGGGACGCTCCCCTGTCAGCTGAGGGCCTAATGGCCAGGGTCCCCCAAGACTAGGTTTGGTTTTGTCCTCAGTTTCTTGTGTGTGTGTGTGTGTGTGTTAAAATATACATAATATAAACTTTATCATTTTAACCCTCACTGTCTCTACACCCCAGGGCTCTTCCCTCCTCCAGTTCTGTGGCATTCAGTACATTCACTCTGTGCAGTCATCACCATCTGCCTCTAGAACTTTCTCATTTTCCCCAACTATAACATTGTATTCACTAAACAATAACCCCTATTACTCTCACTCAGCTCTTGGCAACCACCATTCTACTTTCTGTCTCTATGAATTTGACAACTCTAGGGACCTCATTTAAGTAGAATCATGTGGCACTTGTCCTTTTGCTTCTGGCTTATTTCACTTAGCATAATGTCTTAAAGAATCACCCATGTAGTAGTATGTGTCAGATATCATTCCTTTTTAAGGCTAAATAATATTCCATTGATCATACAGAGCACATTTGTTTATCCGTTCATCTTTCACATTTGGGTCGTTTCCACCTTTTGATATTGTGACTAATGGTGCTGCGAACATGAGCGCACAAGTATCTGTTCAAAGTCCTGTGTTCAGTTCTTTTGGGTAGGTACCTAGGAGCGGAAGTGCTGGGCCACTTGGTAATTCTGTTTACTTTTTTAAGGAACTACCAAATTGTTTTCTGGAGTGACAGCATCCACTTACATTCCCACCAGCAATGGATGAGGGTTTCATTTTTTTCACATCCTCACCAACATTCGTTATTTTCTAGTTTTTGGTAACATCCACCCTGTGTCACGGTAGTTTTGATTTTTATTGTTCCCCCAAGGTTTTTGCATTTGATTTATTCTTTTGCTTGGAAAAGGGGACCGAAGCTGCCTGTTTTGGTCTTTGCTTGATCCCTTTGGCCACTCTCACCTGCCTCCAGCACCTGCAGCACCTGCACTACAGGCCATGGTGTTCTTCCTTTTTCTTTGTTTTAATTACATTTGTAATACATAGAAAGAAAATTCAAAATTATAGATAAACACAGAAAAGGAAATAACATAGAAATCATCCATATTCCCACCACCGAAGAAAGACAGCCTGGAGATATCTCACTCCTCCTGGAACTGTGCCCCTAAAACCCTCCCTGTCTGTATCCCCTGCCCCCATCCTCCTTCACAAATTTTTTCTGCTGCCTTCCCCCCTTTGCTGGGTTCCCCTCCTGAGCCTCCCTATCTCCACTGCACTTTTGTAGCTTTTGCTGAACTCCAGACAGACATCAATGAGCTGACCAGTGACCTGGACCGCTCAGGAATCCCCTACCTGGACTATCGCACCTATGCCATGCGAGTCCTGTTCCCCGGCATCGAGGATCATCCTGTCCTGCGGGAGCTGGAGGTAATACCTGCCTCCCTGGCCCAGAACACAGTGGGAACGCAGTGCCCATGTGTCCAAAGGCCAATGGAGCCCAGCAGCTCAGAGAAAAGTGAGGAGAAAGAGCTTGCAACAGCACTACCACAACAGGCATGCCTCTAATTAGGAAGATCATGGCCAAGGGGGGCACCCAGGCTCTTTGGGATGATTCCAAGGCAAGGCTCATTATCATTTTCAAATTAATAACTGAATTAATTAACTACAATTCTGCCTCATTCTCGAATGGACTTAAGGTGGCTTAGGGAAAGACGTAGGATTCTGTGAGGTTTGATCATTTGTTGGTTTGTTTTACTAAAGACGGTAAATCAGGACAGAGATTAAGGGGAAACGAGCAAGCAGAGCAGGTCTTACCGGGTATCTCCTTCATATTCTTGGGAAAATCAGATGAATGGCATCCCCACCGAGGGCCCGACCTGGAGCCCAACCCTCCCAACCTAACAGAAGGTCAGAGTGGACTGTAGGTTTCAGACACTGGCATTCCTACGTCATCATGGGTATGGTGGTTATGGGCCTCATGGTGAGACTCTTACCACTGGTATTTTTGCTGGCAAAGGCCCTTAGCGAGAGCCAGGCTAGGAGGCCAGAGTTGTCCTCTGAGGGTGTACCCATCACGCCCAACCCAGGTACAGGGGAATGGGCAGCAGCACGTGGAGAAGGCCCTGAAGCTCTTCGCCCAGCTCATCAACAACAAGGTCTTCCTGCTGACCTTCATCCGCACCTTGGAGCTGCAACGCAGCTTCTCCATGCGTGACCGTGGCAACGTGGCTTCGCTCATCATGACCGGCCTGCAGGGCCGCCTGGAGTATGCCACCGACGTCCTCAAGCAGCTGCTCTCTGACCTCATTGATAAGAACCTGGAGAACAAGAACCACCCTAAACTGCTTCTCCGGAGGTGAGTGTCTGAACAGGGACATGGAGCCATGAGAGCAGGTCCCATAAACAGCACCAGAGGGTTCCCTCCCCAGAAAGGCCTGTGTCCGCACACCTCACAGTACAGAACCTCGTCTCCCTTGGCCAGGCACTGTGTGGTGTCTCTGGCTGATACACGTGATGGAGGAGCACAGGCCTCGGCTCGGATCTCGGCCTGAACCCCAGCTCTGCCACCTGCTGACTGTGTGAACGTGGGACAGTGACATAGCCTCACTGCCGCTTAGTTTCCTTGTGGACAAAATGACACTAAGATCATCTGTCCCTCTGTCTCTCTCCCTCCCTGTGCTTCTAGAGCTGTGCTGTCCAACACGTATGTAGCTATACGTGACCTTTAATGAAAATGAAGTGAAATGTAAAATTCAGTCCCTCCATTGTACTAGCCACATTCCACCAATGTCACCACATATTGGCCACCCTATTAAACAGAGCACATGGAAAACATTTCCGTCTAACAGAAGATTCTACTGGATAGCACCGGCCTAGAGATTTGGTGCAACCTATACCTCCCAGACCCAGCTTCCTGGATCTCGATCACCAGCATGCACCACGTGCCCACTTCCCCGTTGCCGTTTTCCTGGCAGAGGGTTGGAGCTTGGCATCCATTCCTAGAGCTCATCCTCCCTGGAGGCCCCCGGGAGCCCAGCACAGTTTTGGAAGAAGCCACATCTATTTCATGGCCTTCCCTTTAGCCTTCTCCGAGGAAGGGCTCAGGCTTCAAGACCCCACGTGGGGTGAGAAGGGAGGAAGAAGTGCTTCGTTTTATGACTATTGAGTCCCCATCCTGCCAATCTGAGCCTTAGAAACTCTCATTAAGAACTGTTGTATTTAAATTAGAGCTAATCTTAAGCACAATGCAGGGAGAGGGGGGTTGGGAGGGGCTGGGGGAGAAAGCTGCAATTTCTTCTGCATTGTCACTCTCTCCCAGGCCCAGATCGATGAGCAGCCCTGCAGCCCTGGCAAATGCTGGGATTTACTGCAATCAGAGGGTATAATTTGCACCACGTGCAGGGAGTTAAAATGCCCCTCCAGCATCCCCATCACTGAGGATCTGTCACAGCCGCTTTGTTTCTTCCTGAGTCCCCAGATCTGCAGCCCAGGAATGGGGGTGGGGGAGGGGCAGTGCATGCAGAAGCCGATTGCCTGTCAGTAAAACACACACACACACTGCTCTCTACCTGAGGGGCTGAGATCCAAGACCCCACCTGACATCAATGACCCTACCTGACAGAATACCAGGTGATATTCTTAGCACTTGACGTGTATTAATTCATTCAACCCTGACAACAGTTCTGTGGGGAAGATGATGATGATGATGATGATGATCCCCATTCAGAGATGGAGAAACTGAACCCAGGGAGCTGAAATCACTTGCCCAAGGTCACACAGTCAGTACATGATAGAGCCAGGATTTGAACCCAAGCAGTCTGACTGAGTGTTTGGAGGGCAGGTACCAGGTATGTTCTGGACATGCAAAATAGAGTACAGTATTCAGAAATGCAAAAAATCCAGAGGCCTAGGGAAACTTTTTGTCACCCTGATGCCAGAAGGGATTAGGGAGAACTGGTTCTTTGCAGCCCTGTAAGATTGGGTACTGGACACTTTTATCTGCAGACCACAACACCAGTCCATTATCACAGGAAATTGAGGTCCAGAAAGAAGAAAGCGCTGTCCCAAGATCACACTTGTCGTTACTGGCTTAGTTTGGCTAGGACCAGGTGTCCTAGCTCCTAGCTCTTTGTCCTTCAGTGCCCACGACAAACCAGGCCCCGCTCTGCAACCCCTCATAAAGGTCTGCACCTTGTCCCTTCTCTCTGCCCAGGACAGAGTCAGTGGCTGAGAAGATGCTGACCAATTGGTTTGCCTTCCTCCTGCACAAGTTCCTGAAGGTGAGTGGGAGTGAGATGGGAGCCACAGCTGAGAGCAAGGTGGGGGGCTGCTCCTCGGAGCCAGGCCACCAGGGCTGCATGCGGACCCCCTCGGGAACTTGGCCCCACCTGGCCAGGTGGTCAGGAGAGCGGGGAGAGGCTGGTGCTGCCACACACCTGCCCTGCCTGTGTCCCCAGGAGTGTGCGGGGGAGCCGCTCTTCATGCTCTACTGCGCCATCAAGCAGCAGATGGAAAAGGGCCCTATCGACGCCATCACGGGCGAGGCCCGCTACTCCCTGAGTGAGGACAAGCTTATCCGCCAGCAGATCGAGTACAAGACCCTGGTGAGGAGGCCGGAAGCTCGGGGACAATGCAAACATTCTGCCCCTAATTCCCACTTTACCCTCTGACCACACAGACAACCTGAGGGGTCAATAAAAAGTCTGCGAGACTGAGTGGGCTTGGAGCAAGTCCAAGTGTACCACGGGCAGGCAGACCCAACTAAGTGCCTCCTCCCCATTCATCTGGTGGGCCTAAAGAGCATGTGATGCCTCAGTTTACCCTAGATACTACTGGGTGGAGAAAAAAGATCACCCACCATTAAGTACGAGGAAATTGGCGTCATGGTAAAGAACCTGAGTCTGTGGATTCCTGATAGGCTTCAGGGAAGGGGGAAGTCACCCCCGGACACTCCTGGAGCCATCTCTGAAGCCCAGGACAACTCATTCCAGGATTGCAGCTTCCCTGAGCCATCCAGGAGCTAGAAAGTAGAGTCCTGGTTCTTTGAGAAAAATAAGGCAGGCAGAATGATTCAGAATGTCATTGGCAGAGGACAGGGGAATGAGAGAAAATGAGGCGCAGAGAGAGGAGCCCCATGTCTCCAGTGAGGGGAGGGGACCATGGAAGGAGAGATTCCTTCCAAGGCCTTGATTCCTCTCCCTCAACTTCTTCCTCAATTCCCTCCTGCTCCCCTCCTCTGGCCAATTGTAGATCCTGAACTGCGTCAACCCCGACAATGAGAACAGTCCGGAGATCCCAGTGAAAGTGTTAAACTGTGACACCATCACGCAGGTCAAGGAGAAGATCCTCGATGCCATCTACAAGAACGTGCCCTACTCTCAGCGGCCGAGGGCCGTTGACATGGACTTGGGTAGGAAGCCTGGCTGAGGGTGGGGCAAGGGTGGATGGGCAGCTTGCAGTGGGAAAGGATGGGAAGATAGGAAGCCCTGCCCCACATACGGCCCCTCCTGGGGGCGTAACTGGGTCCTGCCCAGTAAGGGGCCACCTGAAATACTGCTCCCTGGGCACTGCCTACTCAGATCTGGCCGCCTTTGGAGAGGCCCACACTTCTGCCCACCTGCACTCCTTGGAGCCTAGACATCTTAAGCATTATCATTGCACCAGCCTGAGAAAAGCCAGGGTTGCCAGCTGCCTAGAGAAGGTAGGACTGGGTGATCCTGGCTGGCAGTTCCCACCCCCTCACGGTGAACTGCACCACCCCTTCACCCAGAGTGGCGTCAAGGCCGGATCGCCAGGGTTGTGCTGCAAGACGAGGACATCACCACCAAGATCGAGGGCGACTGGAAGCGTCTCAACACACTGATGCATTATCAGGTGAGGGTGGGGCCTCTCGGTTTGGGAAGGGGCTTTGCACCAGGACCTTTGTCTCAAATGTCCCCTCCCTCCTAGCGTTTGTTCCTAGGCCCTCAAAAGCCTAAAAGGGGATTTCTTATCTTTCCTCTTCCCCTCCTCCCTGATCCTAGAGCAGTGGTTTTCAGCCATGGCTGCCCATAAGAATTTCTGGAGGAATTTATCGAAAACATGAGCACCAGACCCACCCTAAGAAACTGACCTAATTGGTCTAGGGTAATGCTAGGCACTGCTATCGTGTTAGCCCTGCATCTGCAGGAAAAGTACATGTTGTAACATTCTCCCCAGAGACAACCACCAAAAATGTCTGCTGCTTTCCCTCTTTGGCATCCTAGAAATGCAGCTTGTGCCTCTCACTTACTACATAGCAGAAAATTAGATAGACTTGTCTTCGGGTCTTACTTTCTACCACTTGCTAGCTGGTGTCCTTGGGAACTTATTTGAGCTCTTGGTCCTTATTTGTAAAATGGGGTTAATGATGGCTCCTGCACCATATAGTTATGTGGAATAGATTAAATATAGTAGGTAAAGTGTTTAGCACACAGGCAGAATTCAACTGCCTGTTGAATGAACGATCAAAATATATATTTATCCCATCAAAAGAACAAAAGATCCAGGGGTATCCACTCTCTCTCTCCCATGGTAACTACTAGAGGCTGGGGGTCTCTAAGAGTAAGCACAGGTAGGCAGGTTGGGATTCAGGAAAAATAATAAAGTAGAAGCTAAAAATGAGAGACACCAAGGGAAATTAAACCAACCAGAGGAAGTGCCTGAGGCTGCAAGGCCCTTTGGGACTGTCTGATTAATAACATCCTCCTATGTCTGCGCCTCGCGTGGGAGGGTGCAGGGGGCAGGCAGGCTGGGTTCTGAGGCACTCAGTTGCCAATGACCAGGAGTTTGGGGGCCCAAATAGCCAATAAGAGTTGGTGGGGAGCCTCCCAGGGCACAGGTGAAGCTGGGGGCACTGGGGAAACCTGGAATGCTCCTTTCCAGGCTGCATCCGCTTACTGGCCTAACTTCCCCACACCAGACTGAAGGAATGTGCTCTAGTGGGAAGAGAAAGGGCGTTGTGAGCTGTATTTAAGCCCCTGCTTCCCCACTCACTGGTTCTATGACTTTAATCTCTGGAAAACTTGAGTTTCTCATCTGTAAAACGGAAATAACAGCCTGACTTGTGAAGGTAGTTGAAGGATTATAATCAACAGGTGAGATGCCCATCATGTATACTTATATCCACGGAGCCATAAAAAATCTGTGTTGATCCCTCCCCCACATCACTGTGCTTAATGTATTCTGTAGAACAGTTGTAATAAACCAATTAGAGCTGGAGAAGAAAATACAAAACAGAATAGCATCATGCCCCCAAATTATTAGTTTCTCCAGGGCAGGAGTGGGGCCTCTCTTCTCCGTAACACACACACGCTGTTGCTGGGCTGTCCGTCTGATGGCTCCCAATCAGAAGGATGGACTATTCTGTTCTTACAGTGCTCATCATACAAAGCGCTTTCAATTCCCTGATGTCATTTATCATTCATGTATTCAATCATTCCTCAAATATTTACTGAGCTTTACCAAGAGCACGGCACTTCCCACATGCTAGCCCTGAGTGACAGGGGGCCACTGGGATTATTCTTCCCATTGGGAGCCCGTGGTGATGATTTTCTGCTCATAATAGCAGTCCTAATACCAGCTCCTGACTGAGGGCTCCCTGGGCACCAGGCACTGACCTCAGCCTTTCTGGCCCCAGCTTCTTCACTCTGAGCAAACCTAAACAAGGTTATTATCACCTATGATGAGTGAGACAACTGAGGCACAGAGCAGTTAAGTGACTTTCCTTGAGTAATATAGCCAGGAATTGGCAGATTTAGCCAGGCATCTTGACCATGGATTTGCCCTGCCTGTTGGTCAAGAGGAAGAAAGTCTGAGGACGAAAGAGAATTGGTGACAAGACCTGGAGTTGAGTTCCACTGTAGTCATTCCAGGCATCTTGTAAATCTTCCTTTAGGTGACAACAAACCATAAATGTTAAGGTAACCTGTCCTCCCTGGGAGCGTAAACCCCTGGCCCTGCCAGGCCTTCAAAGGATCATTTCTAAGCTGTCGTTTACAAGGAGAATTCCTGAAAGGCCGAGGTAGAGATCCCCCCATCTCCAGACCTGATGCCGATGGTGCAAGCTTCTGATGGTCCCGCGGGCGGCCCAGGCTGGGGACCATGGAGCCTAGGCACCTTCCAGGGCTGTGCAGGGGGCCCTGCAGCTTTCGGTCATCAGGTTGAAGCCTTGCCCTCTTGTTACCCTCCCTGGAGTCAAAGGTCCTTGGAGCTCCTACAGGAGAAATCTGCATAATCTTAATTAACAAAGAGATGTTAAAAAACTTCCTGGGCTCCTGCAGATTTATAGGGAGGGTAAAATTAAATACCACTACTAAAACCAGCTATCAGGGAATCTCGTTAGTGCTAATGTTCATTTACAGTTCGACTTCCCAACATTTAATTCTTTTTTGGTGGGAGAGAGGGACTGACAATTTAAGACCTAGAAAGATGGTTTTACGACTGGTGCAGCTATAAATCAAACTTATAAAGTTCATAAAAATTGTTAAAATAAAAAATGGTTTAATAGGAATGTTTTATGGCCCATAACATTATTATAGCTGTTTTATTCCCTCTACGTTAGGGGTTTAATTGGATCGCCACAATTCTGGGGATTCTCCATCTTTATTGGATGGAGGGTAATCTTAAATCACAGTGGCCCCAAATGTCTTCAGCATGGCTCCTCGTTCATCAGCCCTTGCCCTCCAGGGTGGGTGCTGAGCCTGGGCACCCTGTGAGAACAGGCGAGACACCATCCTTCTCTCTGACTCCAAGAGCAGCTGTTCTGTTTGAGAAGCTCTTCAAGGTGGCCCAGGCTGTGTAGGACCCAGGCCAGAAAGAAATCAGAGCCAGAAGGGAAAATGTACTTCAGACCAGTGTGACTTGAAATAAAATCCCAATTAGGACATAATGAGGACAACATGTGCTCTGGAGCCTGACAGACCTGGCTGCAGACAGTGGCTCCACCAGGTACTGAGAGTGTGACCTTAGAAGCTGTTGCTTATCCTCTTGATGCTTCAATTTCCTCATCTGTAAAATGGTAATCATCGTCCGTGACTCACGAGCATGAAGGGGGGCCGGTCTAGCCCGGCGCTGCCCAATGGAAATATAATGCGAGCCACATGTGTAATTTTAAATGTTTACTAGCCACATTTAAAAAGTAAAAATACACCAATGAAATTAACGTCAACGATAAGTTTTATTTAACCCAACTGATCTAAAATAATTATCATTTCAACATGTAGTAAATATAAAATTATCAATGAGATAGTTTTTTTTTAACCCATGCTAAGTCATTGAAACCCAGTGTATATTGGACGTTTATTTATAGCATATTTCAGCTCAGACACCGACAGTGCATCTCAGTTCAGACTAACCGAATTCCAAGTGCTCAATAGCCACAGGCGCGAGTAGCTGCCATGTTGGGCAGCAGGAATTGTTATTTCGAGTATTCCTGAACTCCTTGCTCTACTCCACATCTCTTCCATACCTTGTAGAAGCTCTTAGCTACTCAGTGCCCCAAGACACTGATGTTCACCCACATACTTTTCATATCCTCAGGTGTCAGACAGATCAGTGGTCGCTCTGGTCCCCAAACAGACCTCCTCCTACAACATCCCTGCCTCTGCCAGCATCTCCCGGACGTCCATCAGCAGATATGGTGAGGACCAGGAAGGCAGCCTGCACAGCTTGGAGGGGAGTCTGCCAGACGCCACTCACTGTCCCTTCCGATAGCAGGAAGCGCCTGCTGCCGCCATCCCCCAGCCAAAGGCCTTGGCTCATCTGTTTCCCTCCCTCCCTAGTCCAGCCATTCCCAGAGCAGCCCATCTCCTCAGAGCGGTGGGAGCAGGTGGCACCACGTGCCCTTCCCTCAATAGCCCTTCCCGGGAAGGAGTTCAAGGGGTCCAGTGCCAGGTGGAGGAGATCCATACATCCTAGTCTATGCCTATTGTCCTGGGTAACTTACGACTAGTGCCCTCTTTGCTCTCAGAATTGTCCCAGTTTGGGCAATAAATTAGCCATCCTCGACTGTCTACCACTGAGGAGAGTAAGGGAACCCCAGTGCCTTATGGGCAATGATGTTCCAGTGCTTCACTCTCTTTCATTTTGAGTTTCTGGATTCATGTATGCACTAAGGCTTTGGGCCGTCCAGATTAAGGACACCTCAGAACTAAGGCCAGCAGCTCCAAAGAGTCCTTGGCAATTCCATATTCTAGGCCCAAGTAAGAAGGGCCCCCTTAACTGCAAAGAGGGAGGATTACAGCTCACAGCTCCTTAGTATCCAGGTTTTTATCAAAGCCCTTATGGAAATATCCACTCGACATTTTACGTATCGATCATTCTTTGCTGGGAGCATGAGGGGAGGGGACTCCAAAATCCCTGAGGGTCTCTCCAGCTCACAGAATTTCTAAATCCTCTTTTCACAAAACCTTTCAGGCTGTCCTCATGCCAACCAAGGGTCCTTAAAATAACCCTCACCTCAATAGGAGATCCAAAAGATCCCCTTCCAATTGGAACTGGCTTTTTCTGAGTGTAGCAGGCGGGCAGGAATTCTAGACAAACTCTTCAGCATTGGATGATGAATCGGTTGCTCACAGGCCTCCACTGCCCCCTTCTCCTCAGACTCCTCCTTCAGGTACACAGGCAGTCCCGACAGCCTGCGCTCTCGGGCCCCTATGATCACCCCAGACCTGGAGAGCGGAGTCAAGGTGTGGCATCTGGTGAAGAACCATGACCACGGAGACCAGAAGGAGGGTGACCGGGGCAGCAAGATGGTGTCCGAGATCTACCTGACCCGGCTACTGGCCACCAAGGTAACTCCTGCTCTGCTCAGCCCAGGGGGGACATTATATAGAGTCCGGCTTTCAAGGGGACACATTCAGACAAGCAGGCCCGCGTCTCTGAGCAGCCACCACTGTTTTCTTCCCTTTGGTAAAAATCACAATGATATTGTTGCTCCTGGCCCACTCCTTAGGACCACCATTGCTCTTCAGAGGAGTGGCTTCCCCAACATCTGGGCCCGAACCCCTTAGGAACATACTGTGTTTTTCTAATTGACATTAACTGGATAGATAAGCCGGCCCTCGCCATCACTGCCTTTTCTACCCACTTTCTCGCCAAAAGGGGAGGGGAAGCCTGAAGGAGAGCTGGTCCTGCCAATAATCCCAGAGAAGGTGCCCCTCCCCCACCCCTTCCTACCTTCCCCCAAACGCTGATGGAAGTGAGACAGCAGTGCTGCTAGAAGCTTCCCTCTCAGGAAACCACTATGCCTCTAAGTGTGGCAATCATAGGGCTCACGTAGGCCGGGCAGGGCTAGATTTCAAATACGCTCCCCATTGACCCTGCAAAAATGCCACGGAAATTCTAATACACTGGCATCAGGTTACAGCTCTCAGACTTGCTCTGAGAAGTGGTACAGAAAAACACTATCAAACTACGTGTCTCAAATTTTGCTCTGCCCAGAAGGCCAATGAGAAACCAACACAGTGACATCAGAAGAGGTTAGACATTTTCCCGACCTTCACAGGCATTCCTTTAACCTGTGACCTGTGGGACCCAGGCCCAGTCTTGTCCCTCCCCAAAGGCCCTCAAGGTCCAGTGAGTCAGGACTATGCCTGAGTATTCTTAGGCCTGGACCCTTCTCTTGCAGCCCCCTCTCCAGATACCACTCTTACCCCAGGCCACTAATATCGTAAAGTTTTTTGCACCTCACTGCTATCAGACCCTCTATGGTCCTGCTGTGCTCCTTCCAGGAGGCCCTAGTCCCCCAGCTGATTCTTCAGACACCCTATTGTACCAGCCTGTGCCCCCCATTCCCCATGGGAAGCCTAGACTCAGAACACTCGGTGTCTTCCCTCCTGACATGGACACAGCATAAATGTGGCATGTGGCTGCAAGCTGGTGAAGATCTTCCCAGGAATCTGCATCCCATTTAGTCCCTCCCGCCTCCCCGACACCCCAACAGTTGCCTCCCCACTCCCACTACGCCGCATGCTCAGCCTGGTGTCACTGGTGTTGCAGACAAATTTCCAAGGCAGGATTGGTCCAAGACACCATCTGGTCTGCCCGTCTGCTCCCTGCTGTCCCCCTCCCCCACCCTTCACCTCATCCTCTCCCACTGTCCGTTCCCCAGGGCACCCTACAGAAGTTTGTGGACGACTTATTTGAGACCTTGTTCAGCACTGTGCACCGGGGCAGCGCTCTCCCCCTGGCCATCAAATACATGTTTGATTTCCTGGATGAGCAGGCAGACAGACACAGCATCCATGACACAGATGTGCGGCACACCTGGAAAAGCAACTGGTAACCCCTGGGGAGCTCAGAGGGAGGTGCAGCCTGGAGAGGCTGCCAGCTGTGTGGGGCTGGGACCAACGGGGTCCAGGGAGATGGAGGAGCTTGCTCGCTCTGGCTGGTAGGCCCAGGCTCCTTGGGCCAAATAACGCACATGTGCTCTACAGAGCCATCATGGTCCCCAGGCTGCCGCCAAGTGGGGCCTTCCTGGCGTAGGGCCCAGCACTAGGACACACACTTGAGCTCTGCCCTTTTAGGTTGAGACCTTTCCCCGGGAAGCACCTCCCCCCCGACTCTGAGATCTCTAGTAGTCAGGAAAAGGGAGTTGGGGGAACCTACACAAAGAGCCTCACTTGAGAACTAGCAGCAGAGCCTCAAATTCAAGGCAGCGCCAGGCATTCTGAGGAGGGCAGGATCTAAGGCACTTCCCGAGATCTGGAAGCCCTGAGTTCAACTGAGATCCCAGGAAAGGTGGCCAGCACTCAGGAGAGCTCACACCTGCTGTAGACTTGAGCCAACTGACTAGGAGTATGTCACTGCAAACTTGATCCCTTAAGGCCAGCTTGTTACGCCATGGCTTTCAGGAAGCAGCAGGCAGATGTCCTGCAGGCATGACTCTCTTCCCTAAAAGTAACCTCTACAGCCAGGCCCAGTGGTGGGAAGCAGCTCCCACGGGATAAGACTTTTCTCTCCTGGGCTTGAACCTGAACCAAAAACCAAGCTAAGGTCTGGCTTGCAGGTCAGATAGGGCCTCTCTAGGAGCTGGAGTCAAAAACCTTCCTTCGGGAAAGAGCACAGAGAGTAGAGAAAGGAGGTCCAGACATTTGGGTTGGGCACACAGCCCACACAGCTGTCTGGAGTCAGCGATCTCTTCAGAAAACAGCCGACACAGATGGGTCCGGGCTGTTATTTGGGAATCAAAAGTCCTAGCAACCCGACAAACACTCTGGAAATACCCAGCCCCAACCCCATATATTCTTCCCTTCTTCGGGGTGCTGTGCTTGCTGAGCCCATCCAAGTCCGCAGCTTTGATCACAATGGAGTGAAATGGAGAGACTCGGATGCCCGCCGTGCAGGCCTTTCGCCTGTGTCTCCACGGGCAGAGCCGTGGCTGCCTCCTTTGCATTGGAAGATCCCAGCCCTGCACTGGGACTAGGCAAATTCAGGGAAATCAAAAGAAAATTCTGGATTGCCCCCATCTCTGTGTTCTCTGTTACTAGCCAGGCCCAAGTCATAGCAATTCCCTGTCCTGCCATTGTGGTGGGGAGAGTCCCCTTATCCAGATGTCAAATAGCCAACGTCCAAAGGGAAAGTGTCAGAAGCTCCCCAAAGCTGCTGGAGGAAGGGAAGGGTGGAAGAGATGAGTCACCTCTCAGCTGAGGCAGCTCCTCCCAGCTTACAGGAAAGTGAGTGATCGCCTTGCATTCTGGAAGACAAGTGGAAATCCTAATGGAAGGGCTTGGAGTGGGCAAAGCAGGCCTTTCCCAAGACTTGGCAGGACTGAGATATTTAGGAAACTTTGGCGTCCCTCAGAGTCAAGAGAAGATGAAGAACAGGAGAGGAGAGGTAGGCTGGATTGCTGGAGCATTACCACAAGCCAGAGGGCCAAGCCAGGGGACACAGCTCACTCCACAGAGGATCCCAAAGAGTTAAGCCCCCAAAGGCAGTTGGAGGAGAAAGCAAAGCTGGAAAAGGCAGAAAAACAGCAGCTGCTCTGGTTTTGAAGGGGGATAAATGGGCTTATCCTCCTTCTGGCCTAAGGAGCAGAGAAAATACATTCTGCTCTGATTATAAATTCCCACTTTGCAGAAGGAACTCTCCTAAGGACTGATCGGTTCCTCCTTGGGTGGGAAAAACTGAGCTACAGTGAGTCATTTCCAGCATGCCAACAATGGCCTCCTCTTCTCCCTCTGCCCCTGCCCAGATTCAGGAAAGCCCGGGGAGAGGCGTGAAAGAGCTGCCCCCAGGGGAGCCCATTCCTCAGCCCAGGCAGGCCTGCGGCCCTGGGAAGCAGCCTGGGCTGGGCGGGGAGCACAGGTGGCGCCCTTTGTGCCCTCTCTGAGGCCGTGCCCGGGGCTGCCGGTGGCGTCCTTCCAGACAATGGCCATGGGCACTGTGAAGGGATGCTAGGAGCCTGGTGGCTTTGTTTGAAGTTCTGAGAAAACTGTAGTTCTCTGTACTTGGGCTGCCCTGGGGCACGGAGGCCCTTGGGAAAGGCTGCCAGGAGGGAATCGACCCCCCCCACCACCCCTCAGTTGTTAGAGAGCAGGGTCAGTGCCCCATTAGGGTACGATAGCGTCTCTCCTTTTCTCCCAGGATCAGGAACAGCTTAAGCTAATTTAGCAACCCCAGCTGGACCAGTTTTTTGTACTTTTATTTCCTCACCCTTGAGAAAGAGAATTTTGTATTTGGGGGGCAGGGAGGAATATCAGTGGATGGCCTCGGAGGTAGGGCCAAGAGGCGGCCCTTAGGACCCACTCTGTCTTTTCCTACAGCCTCCCTCTGCGCTTCTGGGTGAATGTGATCAAGAACCCCCAGTTTGTATTCGACATCCACAAAGGCAGCATCACGGACGCCTGCCTCTCTGTGGTGGCCCAGACCTTCATGGACTCTTGCTCAACATCAGAGCACCGGCTGGGCAAGGACTCCCCCTCCAATAAGCTGCTGTACGCCAAGGACATTCCCAGCTACAAGAGCTGGGTGGAGAGGTCAGTAGCATGCTGAGGACAGGCCCACGCCCTGTCTGCCTGCTCCATTCCCTACCCTGTCCGTGTCCCTCACCCAGGACTTACAACTGTGTTTGGTACCTTTATATGCATCCCAGTCCTTTCCCCTTGTCTACACTTCCTGTGGGGGAGGGGAAGCTTGGCGCCCTTGGAAATCAGATTATTATTATCATCCTAATTACCATTTACTGAGCACATGTGAAGCACCCAGCACTGTAATACCACCTCATGTGTCTGTTCCACCTCATTAAAATATCCAACAGAGTTGTGAAGTTGGTATTATAATCATCTCCCTAAGAAAACTGAGGCACTGGGAGACATTAAGTAACTTGCCCAAAGTGAAACAGCTAGCAGGTAGCAGAGCCAAGATTTTAATACAAGGAGTCTGATCAGAGTCTTTTAACCATTGAGGCGGACACTAGAGCCAGGAGCTCACAGCTAGATGGACTCTGGCCTTCTAGGAGGAGCTGTCTCCATGCCTCAGCCTCCGATTAAAGCAAGAGACCAGAGGAAGCACTTCAGAAGAGAAATAGGGAGGCACAAGTGAATAGGGACATCTCATGCCCGAAAGAGACCTGGGCTCACGGTAGGTGCAGGCAGACATTTGCTGAGCTCCCATCAAGGAGCCTGTCCTCTCTACACAGATACTATGCAGACATCGCCAAGCTCCCCGCCATCAGTGACCAGGATATGAACGCCTACCTCGCTGAGCAGTCCCGCCTGCACGCTGTGGAGTTCAACATGCTCAGTGCCCTCAACGAGATCTACTCCTATGTCAGCAAGTACAGCGAAGAGGTGAGACATGGTCCTGGAGGGCACAGAAACCAGCATGCAGCAAGCAAGGCGGTTAAATAGAGTGCCTGTCCAAGTCCTTAAATAACAGCATCAGAGGGTAATTTAGAAAATACGAACATGGGGGCAAAAAGACCTGAGCTCAAAATCTTTCCAATTCCTTGAGAAGGCATCCTCACTTCTGATTCGTTGGGCACTTCCTTACACATTGCATTGTGTTGCACTCACTGTTCAGGCAATAAATAACACTTTTAATAACGTCATTGTTTTTCAGTTGGAAATGTTGTACAATTAATTTCATTCTTTCTTAAGCAATGAATTAGACTCTTCTTTGTACTTGGGCATGTCCTGTCACTGACATTTCAGATACACAGGGGGACCTTAACATGCGTAGCAGTTAAATAGAACAGTTTCAGAGAATTCACAAGTCACACATTAGCATTGTACCTGAAAGTAGTGTTAATGATGATAATAATAATAATAATAGTAGTAGTAGTAGTAGCTCACACTTTCATAGCACTCCCTATATGCCAAATACTATCTTAAACACATTGGATATAGAGTTGACCCTCAAAAAACACAGGGTGGAACTGTGCAGGTCCACTTGTATGTGGATTTTTTTCAACTGATCACAGTTCAGTTGACCTGCATAGGTCAAACCTGTGTTGTTGAAGGGTTAATGCTGCTGGGAATCCACCTGTGCAGACGGGTGACTGTAATTTTCGGAGAATCTTCAACTGTGTGGGAGGTCAACATCCCTAATCCCTGTGTTGTTCAGGGATCACTATATATATATACATATACACACATATACATGTATACACTCATACATATACAGGATCCAGCACAAATGACACCCCTTTTTTATTACAAAACCATAAGCATGTAATTCTGTAACAGCAGTATCATACTCAAACATGCGATAAGACATTTTACATGACATGTTCAAATTAAAACCATAAATTATTACACGCATGTTATTACCCTACCAACCACACTCATGCAGGCCTTACTTCTGCCGGGTCCTGTATAAACATATACATACACACATACATATACAGCCAGTTAATCATATACACTATTTCAGGTTACGTTCTGTAGGGCAGAATGCAAAGGCAGGTAGAAGGATGGAGGATTTGGAAAGCGGCATCTTCTCTACTGAGCCCTGAAGCCTTCCCCACCTTTGTTTGCTCCTCAGCTCATCGGGGCGCTAGAGCAGGACGAGCAGGCCCGGCGCCAGCGGCTGGCGTACAAGGTGGAACAGCTCATAAATGCTATGTCCATCGAGAGCTGAGAGACGGAGCCCCCGTTCCTGCGAAGAGGGACCCATGGAAGCTGTCACACCGGGAGTCTCAGAAGGAAGGACAAGTGAAGGGGATCAGACGCCAGAGCTTGCTGTCCCCTGAGACCCCATCGCGGGGAGAGGGGAGGGCCCCTCTCCCCATCCCAGCCACGTTTCCTCACAGGCGGCTCCTGCGGGGAGAGACCATGGGCGTCAACCCGTCAACGTCCCCAGGGCGAACGAGAGAAGCAGGGGAGAAGCGGGCCGCGGAGGAGGCGGTTCTTCAAGCTGAGAGGCACGAGCTGGGCCGGTTCTGCCTCTGTGACTGCTGCTTTGCATGAAAACTCATTTGATGTATATTGGGGAAATAATGAGAACTTTATTTAATTTTTTTTAAGAAAAAGGAAAACCAGAAATAAAACGAAACAAAAACTGCCCTGTTAATCCCGTCCAACTTTTGTTGAATTCTGGTTTCTACCCCACTTCCTCCTTTGCCCATCTCCCTCCTTCTGTATCTAACTCCTGTTTCCAAATGCCAGAAAAAACCTACAAAGAGATCCTGGGGAAAATTGGAGGGAAAACAATTGTTTCCTTTCCCTTGAAATTAAAAATAATAATAAATGAGGAGAAGAAGAATGAGCACAAGTTTGCACCAAACACTTTGCAGAACTACAGGCCAGTAAGACCTGGAATTATCCTGGCAGCCGGAAGAGCATGGGAACCATGGAACTCGGCACCAACTGCAAAGCCATCGAGCAGCCGGCGGGAAGTTGAGCTTTACCGACCACACACCTGTATATTCTCATCTCTTGAGAGGAGATATGTGTCTCTAGAGTACCAATGCTTTTTGCTACTGTTTTTTTTTTCTGTGTGTGTGTGTGTGTGTGTGTGTGTGTGTTATTTAAACCCAAGCCTCAACAAATGAGGAGTTTATCTTTGGTACATTCATTTCCCTAAAGTTACTAACAGAAGTGGGGGAGAGGTGGGCCTCTCTCAGACCAGGCGCCTGGCCTCCCTGAGGACAGTGAGCGGCGCTGCCTTCCATCAGCCACTGTCATAACCCAGGCACCCTCGGGGAAGGGCTCCGAGGCGTGTGGGCCAGGCCTCCAGGAGGTTCCATGTGCGGGCATGGGTGTTTGGCTTCAGATTCCATTCCAATCCGCTAGCGGTTTTTACAATTAAAGGGAAAGCAAAGAGCAAACACTGTTTACAGCAAGCAATACTTGAAGAGCATAGGTTAAAGAAGCTGCAGTATTTATTGTTATGCTTGCTTTCTTTCCTTCTCCCGTGCCTGGAGAGGGGAGACAGCCCCTCGCTCATATGTGGAAGCGTCTGATTGAGCACCTGCTCAGGAGAAATGACTGTGACATCCCCACACGACTGTCTTCTTTCTCCCTTATCCTTATGTGTTTGAAGAAGAAGAGGGCGGCTTCTCACTGGGCTCCTTTCCTGCTCTCTCTCCTGTTGACTCCTAAAACCACCATGACCAACTCTCCTGAGTGTAGTTCCCAAACAAAGAGACCAAAGCGCCACGCCCTAATCCAGAGGAGCCATGGAAGCCAGTGGGAGTCAGCAAGAGGAAAATGGTTGTGTTGGTAGCAGGACCTTGGTGACCAGGACAGCCATCGGAGTTTCCAAGCCTCCCACATTGGCAAGGATCCGAGCAGAGAGCTCCAACTTCTCCACAAGCCGCACTGAAGTGGGGGTGAAGGAGGACGAGAGAAAGGCAAAGGGATGGGATGGTGGGGAGGCCGGAGAGGACCAGGCTCTTCTTTGCACCTTCTTCTCCTGGGGCGGCAATGCTGGGAGAAACTGGACCAGCCATCCCCAGAGAGACCAGACCAGAGTCATTTCCTCTGTAACTAACTCTGGGCCCCAGCTTCTCTGTGCTCTGATTTACCTCCAAGCAATTCCAACTTCTAGAGGCTCTGCTGACCACAGTGGATTCCCAGGACAGGGCTGGGGGGTGGGGGAGCTCTGAGGACTGGCTTTCACCCCTGGTGTGTGGCTTTGGATTGTTGTGCTACCCACACAGCAGACATTGCCTGGTATCCTCAGCTCCAGTTTCTTGCCTAAATGCAGCTGACAAATGGGAAGAGAAAAGCATTCAGCAAAATACTCAGGAAACTTGCTTGTTTTCATTATAATTCACAACCAGCCATGCCAAGGCCACTTTCTTCTGATAATCCACTTCTGTTAAAGTTTCTCTGGGCCCTATTAACAGCCTGAAAGAAATACTAATGACTGGCCTTCCTCACTAAGCCAAAGTGTTTACTCTTCCCAGCACCCAAAACTTGTCATCTCAGAGCTTACAGCTAATGGAGATAAAAGAGAGATGATATGGGCGAGAGGAATGTGAGCAAGGAACTTCGTGCTACCCCCCCCCCAAAAAAAACCCAGCCCACCTCATTTTGCTTCTGAGCTCTGAATGAAGGTTCACCACTGCTCAACTGCCATCCAGGACTTTGCTCCACCAAGAAGTAAAAGCAAATTAGGCATCTCAGTTGCATCTTTACCATCCCTTACCTCTATGTAGCCACCTGGGTATGTCCCAGCAGCTACTTCTGATGACCATTCACTGCCACTGAGGATGCTTCCTTGAAGGTTTCTGGAAAGTGCAAAGAATGATGGGGGATGGGGTACAGACTGGAGAGTAGAGAGAAGAGGAGCCAGAGCTGGCAAGAGTGGCTCCGCCCCATTTCTCAGGATGCCATGATAGAGTTGGGGAAGTTGGGTTGGCAAAGGAAGTGGCAGAGGGGCACCCCTGAGAAAGGAGTGAAGAAAAAGAAGTCAGTTGGATTCAAGCCATGTCAGCCCCGCCTCTGGCTTCTCACCTATCTCTCCTCTACCAACCCTTGTCTTTGGGTCACCGAGAACCCGTGGAGTCCACCCTGCGGACAGGGAGGGGAGGAATTTGGCTGGCCTCTCTCCTCACTATTATCCAGTCGGAAGATATTTTGACCTTGAGTGAATAATAAGTATTAAAGTCACTGCCCCTCCCCCACATGAAGCCATCGATCTTGGAGGGAGGCAGGGAAAGAAGTCAATCCAGCTTCACTTTGTTTTATTGATCTACACAAGAGGCAAATCCCTGGAAAAGGAACAGGACCCCAGAAGTGTGTTTGGCAAGACAGGGTGCTAAGAAGCAACATGGAGATGGGCAAGATGTCCATCTTGGTGAAGCAAGTCACTCCGCCAACTGGCCACAGCTTCCTGCCCTCAGCATTGTGTCAGGTGCTTCTGTGCTGGCTCGCCGCCCCTCCTACAGTGCGTCTCAGAACCACTTCCAATCCACCCCGGCGGAGAGCTCCTCCTCCTTGCAGAGTTCAGTCACTAAGGCTTGGATCAGCGAGGGACCTGTATCTTACATACATTCAGGGAAACTTCAGACCTGCAACTATTTTCTGGGTGCAGCTCTATGTGCTGAGAAACAGCAACCAACAAGACCAAGAAGGGCCTTCTAGCAAATTTACATTCTTCGGACTGCTGGTTCCTGGCACCAGCTTAGCAGGTACAGTTCTCTGTCCCCACCTGCAGGGGGCAGGACTTTTCCAGAAAGGGGGCTGGAAGAAGAAGGAAGAAAGCCGACCAATCCAGCTGCCTTACCTTATTCTGGGGACATTACTGGGGCAATAGAGCCTCTCTCGTTTCCACTGCCACTGTCTCATGTGGTGACACTTCTCCCGCTGCTTGAGGCCCTGACCTTCCTTCATTTCCACCGAATCAGGACAAGAAATAGCAGTGGAGGCCCGTGGCCCTGCTGTGCATGAAGCAGAAGTAATGGATGGGTGTGCTAGACTAAAATTGGCCTGGGCAGAACATGCAGAGAATGCCTGGAAGCCTCTGGCTGATAAATATCCAGGTGCACGCCTATTACCACACCTGGCCCCGTGAACCCGCAGCCAGTAAATACTGAGCCTCTGGGAGAAGCCGTCTTTTCCCAGCCAACGCCGTGTCATACGACCTGGCTGCAGGCAGGAAAGAACTGAGACTGGGGGCAGAGGGGGCCCCACGGGTGAGAAAATGCAAAGTAGCCATGTAGACACAAAAGTACATGTAGGAGTGGATCCCGCAGGGAGACTTGTGGCAGGTGAAGTTCAGGGCCTCCTGAAGCCTTGGGAACAAGCCTTGAGAAAATGGCGCACCCTCTTCATAACTCTGAATCTCTCTTCTCCCTTCTCTTCCTCCTGGCTTCCCCAGTGAGGGAAGTGTCATTTACTGGCGCTCAGCGATGCCACCAATGACAGATAAAGTTTCACTCTTGGAATCAGGAAAGTTCCAGGAGAGAATCAAGACCACTGCTTGTCACCCAGGGCGACCCCCAGCAAGCAAACTGGAGGTTCTCGGCCTTCCGCAGATGTCTTCCCCGCACACTCCTCACTTAAAGGGCTCGGCCTTCAGACCGGCCTTTACCCTCGCTGCAGTGCCGCCTGCTCCTCCTGTCCAAGCTCAAGGGAGATGGGCGGATCCGCTGGGTCTCAGCCCAGAGCCTGACTCTCTGCCCCCATTCCTGGCATTCCAGGTGGGGAGCAACATGGAGACCAGTCCCCTCCGCACGGAGCGGATGCTCTCAGGTGTGTCAGGGAGGAAGGGACAAGCTCCTTATCCCATGAGACCAGGGACCTGAGCCCACCTGCCTCTCCCCGCAACTTCTCCTACCCAATCCCACTCTTCTTGACACACTGGAATCTGTATTATATATATTTTTAAGACAATGCAATGATAGTTGTCTGGTTTTGTTGTTTTTACAGGTGTTGTGGAATAAAAAATTGCAAGGAAATTAAGTATTTAAAATGTTCCGATAAAATAGGGTTTTTTGTTATTCTAATATATTATTGTGTACCTATTGTAAATATGAAACACTCCTATTTTGCAAGCCAAGGACACAATTTGTACTGTTGTTATATATAAATAAAGTTTACTGGATAAAAAAATACCCTTAAATCTTCAAGTAATCGTTCAGCACCATATACACAGAAGAACATTTCTTGGCATATTTAAGAAGCAGGATATCATGTACGGATGAGCTAAGTTGTTTTGAGGGACTTGAGGAATTCTCTCTGGAGCCAGAGCTTATTAATGTCCAGTCATCTCTCTCTCTCTCTCTCTCTCTCTTTCTCTCTCACACACACACACACACACACACACACACACACACACACACACACACACACACAGACTGCTCCAGCTTGTACCAATAGGTGAACACTGCCCTCTAGCCCCAAGGCCCCAGAATAAGCTGACAAAAAGCTGACAGTGCAAAGACATTTTGGGTTGAGGCGCTTGCCCAGGAGTGAATGAGGCTTCTGACGCATGAGGAGGCCTCCCCTAGCCCTTTCTGAAAATGACATTCAATCTTTCTTACAAAGCTTGTATTAAGCATCTACCATGGCGTGGCACTGTGGCTCGTGCCCTCGGATAAAATAAAAAATGAGAACGGCCGGACCCTTGCCCTCACCAGCCTTGGAGCGCGGTGAAAACCATAAGGATTCTGAAAAAGGAATGTCTCCGCCACGCTACAGGAAGGGTATTTTTGGTGTCTTTTATTTTCAGTTGAGGGATTAGGTGGGGTGGAGGGAAAGGCGCCCGACGGTGTGCACCTCCCAGGTCCAGCAAGGGTGGGGGGCGGGGGGATAAAGCAGGTGGGCGGATCTGAGGGCATCGTGCTCCTGCCCCGTCAGTACATCCATTTTTCTAATTCTCTTGCTCATACCCCAGAGTGTGTGATCGACACACCCTGTGTGTGGGTGACACTTCCACTCCCGGCCGGTGAAGAGGGCAGATGAGGATAACTTGAGAACCTGTCCATGTGACACCTCAGCGGAGTGGGCCAGACACTGCCGCTCACCTGCTTCCTGAAAACGGGCTCAGAACCGTTTTCAGGCCCCA